CTCCCCCTTATTTTTGTTTTGGTATGACTCCAATTTTTGAAAGCAATATCCATCTGCTCTTATCCACTGTAACAACAACAACCCAGTAAAATCTCACAAGTGGAGTCTGGAACTGCTCTTATCCACTGTTACAAAAACATAAAAATCTCTTATACCAAATAAGTACAACAACAAACAGAGTTTGCAGCTTAATATTATGTAGGAGTAGAGGTGGCAAAATGGTTACAAGAAAACAGTTATCCACCCATATTATCCATTAAAAATGGGTTGGATAATGAACTTTTTAAAAACGGATTGAATATGGATAAGAACCATATTATCTACTTAGAAAATGGATAACCAATGCATAACTAATTTGTTTAACTTTTATATTTGTAAAGCCTCAAATTGGGGGTTAAGTTTGGGAGACTAGGAATTCTCCCATAAGTGATTATTCAAGAAGCCATGGATAATATGGATATCCATATTATCCGCCGACTAACCCGTTTTATCCGTCTCAAATACGGGTTGGGTCGGATAATTTATTCATTTTTTAAAGTACCCGTTTTGACCCGCTCATATCCGATCCGACCCGCCCGTTTGTCACCCCTATGTAGGAGTGTCAAATTGATTTTGGACGGGTCAAAATGGGTTGAGTCAATAAAGGACGGGGTCATTGACCCGTCCAAAAGTTATTGGGTTGAGATGAGTTGAGCCAAGATGAGCTAAAATTTGGGTGATAACCCAACCCGCCCAACTCTTGTCAAGCTTTAATTAATATGTGTTGTTTTCTCATGAATTGTAAAGTTACTAAATAATACTTATTTTTTTTCCTTTTGTTATGATCATATATAACATAGCAAATAAAAAAGAATTATTTCTAAGATATTTTGACAAAGTTAATCATCATGGGTCAATTTAGCTAAAAACCAGCCCAACTTCAAATGGGTTGGGACTTGGGATAAGTTGTCAATAATCAGCCTAACCTTGGACGGATTGGGTAGGTCATTTGGGCTTGGACCAAATTGATAGCCTAATATCATGCATGAACTGTACTCTGTGGCTCAAAAACTGAATTGAAAATCAATGATCTGTTGTTGAAACTTTGATGGGGTCAAAATCATCAAAGAGCACTGCGTTTAGAAGGAACTCTCAGCTCAGATAATGAAACTGGAAAAGGTTCTTCATTCACATAAAAACGTCTGAAGTATTGCGACTGATAGGCCAAACTTTACAACTGCTAGGCTTGCTAGCTCCCAATTATCCAAAGTTAGCCTAATTTCAGACATGTATGTCCCAACTTCAGACAAAAATATGTGAAGTTTGCTTACACATATAATATGCCAAACTTCAGAGCTAGTTTTTTAGACTTTAGTTGCATGTGTCTGAAATTGTTTCCAAAGTGGGTATATTTGCAAAAACTTATAAATTTCGGGTATGATTTAAATGGAGGCCCAAGTTCGGGTATTTGTGCGCTTTCCCCATACTTAACCGACATTTAATTCATGAAGCCAAGTAATCAATCATTATAGTCGGGGTATTTTCGTATATACCCATTTTAGGGCCACCATTTAAGTTATACTCGTATTGCACAAAATTTTGTAAAGTATATCCTCTCGGATCTGAAGTAGTTCAATTTCTCAAATGCAACTTTAGAAATCAAATATGAAGTTCTTATATCTTTCAAATGTAACTTCAGAAATTCGAATATGAAGTAGTTCAATTTCTTCAATGCAACTTCAGAAATCAAATCTGAAGTTTTTCTTTCTTTTAAATGCAACTTCAAAAATTCAAATCTTAAGTAGTTCAATCTATTGAATGCAACTTCAGATTTTGAATCTTAAGTTCTAAAATATAAACTTGTTTTTCAAATTTAAACAATCCAATACATGATTCAATGCCCAAATCTACTCCAAATGAGATCAAATTTGAAACATAACTTTCAAATATTATAAAGAACAACTCTCAATAATAAAATTACCAAATAACATTAAATTTAACAAGCTCATTTTGCAACTAACAAGAAGAAGAAAAAACTCTAACCACAGAAGAAGAAAACAACAGTAAAGAAGAAGAGAAAAGTATTTAGATCTGACTCTTTTAAAAAAGTGGATACAAATTGAATGAGTGACGCAAAAATGGCGCCACATGAAAATTTGACATCATAATCTACATGAGCAATGAAGCTATTGGTCTTATCCACTACCAGGTTCATTTTTTTCGAGGGATGTGCCAGCCGAACTTAAAATATCAGGCTTCTGCTTCCTTACACTGCTAGGTTTTTGAATTTTTTTTCATCCCTATATTTGATAGCTATAGTCCGCTGATATTGGTGGAAATCTATGGGTTCAATTCCCATTACTCCTTTCTCCTCCCCCAATGTAATGAAAACGAAAAATTGTGACATGAATTTTATGAAGAATCTAAATGCACCACCAATAAACTTAACAATTACTTTTCTTTTTATTTTAAATAAAAATTCTTATGCAAATATGTCTTTTTGCTCACTCCCCTCGAAGAATTTCAGAGAAGATGGATTATTTGTTAATTGACATGGATATTAGGCTAAATTCTTTTTTCTCTAATTCGGAACTGATAGGTTATGTGACCTACTATATTTTGATAATCTAACAAACTTGAAGCACCAGATGTGGAACTTGTTTCACATCCTCAAGTGCTCAAGAACAACAAGTCTCAAGTCGGGGACATGTCTCAACAATTCAGAGTCAAAGAAACGATAGAGGGAACAGATGGACATTAGTTTCCTTGCTGACTGTACTAAGTCAACTCCCCACGGCTGTAAAGCTACCGCAACTGTTCCTCTGCACGCACGCAACAAGGCAAACAGTGCAGCATTCACTTTATGTGGAATGCCTTTGTACCAAATGTGCTTGCATCATCCAAGTGACATCACTTGGGTAATATTAACATGAAGCAAAGCAAAAACAAGTCACTTGCACATTCCAGATTCGATCAAGCTTTCTCTCAAATGTGTCAATCTTGCAAGTGACTCCCAAGGCTTCAAGAACAAAGAACAACGTGATGAAGGACTAGTTTCCTGCATTGAGTTATTACATGTCCTTTATTGCACCTTTGTTAAAGTGATTTACTTATAATTCCTACTTAGCTTAGTTAAGATACACTGTGTAGCAAACCGTATGTAAAATCATAAACTTTGTGTTTGTGTCTTGGCTAGAGTTAGTCAAGTTGTAAGCTTTGTAATAGAGTTATTGCAAAGGGGTTTGTAATAGGGTTATTACAAGTTAGTGAGGAGTTAATAGTTTAATTCCTAGGTTACAATAGTTTGTAATATGAAGTTTACTCAGTAATGAAGTTGAAATCCTACGAGTGTAGGTCGTGGTAAATGTGAACTGAGAGTTTTCCACGTAAAACTCCATTGTGTCATTTACTTACTGCTGTGTACGTGTGTTATGTGGGAGCTAATAGAGAACCTGATTCTCTATATAGTTTGGTGGACCCTTAGTTTCTATCACTTAGTATCAGAGTAGGTTCTTTCTATCAGGCTAACACCTAGAAAGGATTTTCATGGATGTTCCAGCAAACTTTGAAGAAGGTCAGTCTACCTACAGAACACCAAGGTTCAATGGACAATACTAAGGATGGTGGAAGATAAGGATGCACGATTTCATCATGACTGAAGATTCAGAACTCTGGAATGTTATCTGTGATGGTCTTTTCATTCCTATGAAGACCATAGGTGAACCAGCAGTGACAATTCCCAAAACAAGAAAGGAATACAATGATACTGACCACAAGTCTATAGAGAAGAATTTTCAAGCAAAAAAAATCCTCGTCTATGGCATTGGACCAAATGAATACACTAGGATTTCTGCCTGTCAATCTACCAAAGAGATCTGGGAAGCTCTCCAAACAGCACACGAAGGGACAACTCAAGTCAAGTAGTCGAAGATTGATATGCTAACCACTGAGTATGAACTCTTCATCCGTTCAGGATGAAGGATGATGAGTCCATTCAGGACATGCACACTCGCTTCACCTCTATCATCAATGAGATTCATTCTCTGGGTGAGATTAATCCAAGGAACAAACTTGTCAGGAAAATACTCAGTGCATTACCTGGTTCCTGGGAAAGCAAAGTTAATGCTATCACGGAGGCAAAGGATCTACAAAAGTTAACCATTGATGAACTCATTGGCAATCTAAAGACTTATGAGATGATGAAGAAGAAGGATCATAAGAGAAGAGAGCGAAAAAGGGAGAAGAACCTGGTCCTCATGACAGACAACAATGACTCAAGTGGTGAGGATGTTGATATGGCCTATCTAAAAAAAAGATTTCAGAAGATAGTTCGCAGAAATGGAGGTATTCCAAATAGGGGCAGCTCCAGCAAGCCAAGAGGCTATGACTTATGTCATAAGTGCGGGAAGCTAGTGCATTTCATCAAGGATTTTCCTCTCCACAAGCAAGACCAGTACAAACACAAAATAGATAAAGTAGCCAAGAGGAACCCGGTTCCTAACAAAATATTCAAGAGAAAAGATGTCGCTGATAATGTTGTGAAACATGCTCTTGATGCATGGCGAGACTCTTCCAGCGAATCTGGAAAAGATGATGAGAAAGGTGGTAGCTCTATGATGGCAGTAGAAAGTGAAGAAGCTGAGTATGACTCCATTTTTGCCCTGATGGCAAATTCAGATGATGATGAGGTAAACTTTCTGGATATTCAAAAAAATTTGAAGTCCTATTCTCAAAAGAAGCTTATATACTTGGCTAATGTTCTAATTATGCATATCACAATCTCATTAACGATAAGAATGTGCTAACTGTGGAACTACGAGAAATAGAACATGAGAGAGTTTATCTAGTTATGGTTGATCTAAAAGATACCATTGATAGTTTAAAAAAGGAAAAAGATATCTTAACTGAGGGGATTGAAAACATAGAGCATGAGAGAGATGACTTATTAGTAGTTGTTGTAGACCTAAAGGAAGCAATTGAGGAACTAAGAAGGGAAAGTAGGCATGAGATCACTCAAAAAGGAAAGAAAGTTGCAAGTGAGGCACACTTTAGGCTTGAAAATGAGATAAAATCAGTGAAATCTAGTTTGTGTTCTAAAAAAAAACTTCAGGAGGCACACCTTAAGCTTGAAAATGAGCTAAAATCAGTGAACTTGAGAGAAACAGACAACTTCAGGAAGATCTAGTAGAGTTAAGAATGACCTAGAAAAATCTCTTAAGTGGACCTGGTCCTCTGATGCAATCACTGCTATGTATAAGAATAATAGGGGAACAGGCAGAGAATCGGGTTCCAAAGGGAAAAACTCCTTACAACCCGCATAACAAGTAAATTACTATCCCTGATAATTGGCTCTGGACTCATCGTGGTAACACTGGCCATTTTAAAGAAACATGTAAAGCCAGATTTCAGTACCAATAGAAAAATAAAGTTTTTGCTAAAAAAATAACTACTACTAAAAAACCTGGTCCCTAATATAAAAAACGTGTGATGCTTGCTTGGACAAAAAGAACTTTGATTCACCCTTTTACTCATTATAAGGGACCAAACTTGTTTGGGTTCCTAAGTCTAATCCATGATTCTCTTGTGTATGAGCAGTGAAAGGAAGCAGCCAAAGATGGTATATGGATAGTGGATGCTCGAAGCATATGACTGGAAGCACTAATAATTTCCTTTAACTCAAAGCCCTACAAGGAGGCAGTGTGTCCTTTGGTAATGGAAAAAAAAGGGATACATTCTGGGAGTAGGAAGAATCGGGAAGTCTCTCACTCACTCAATCGAAAACGTGTATTATGTGAATGGCTTGAAGTACAACTTACTGAGTATTTTTTAGATCTATGACAAAGGCAACAAGGTGGAATTTGTGTCAAAAATCTGCACAGTCACAAGCCTTGTGACTGGTGAAGTGATCCCGATGGCAAAAAGATACAAAGACATCTATGTCACTAATTTTGAGTCCCTACATAATGGGGATCTCACATGTCTGAGTGCTGTGGATGATGATGCTGAATTGTGGCACAGAAGGTTAGGCAATGCATGTTGTACATTGCTGAACAAATTGGTCAAGAAGGACCTGGTTTGTGGACTGCCTAAGTCAAGCTTCAAAGATCACAAGACGTGTGATGCATGTGTAAAATGAAAGCAGATCAGGTCCTTCTTCAAATCCAAAAAGGAAGTAAGCACCTCAAGGCCACTTGATCTCCTCCATATGGATCTATGCGGACCTATGAGAGTGCCAAGTAGAGGAGGAAAGAAGTACATCATCGTCATAGTAGATGACTACTCAAGATTCACAAGGACGCTGTACCTCAGAACCAAATATGAGACTTTTCTAGTGTTTGCTGCTTTTGTGAAAACAATCCAAGTAAAGATGAGCGATAATGTTGTGAGTATAAGATCTGATCATGGCACAGAATTTGACAATGCAAGGTTTGATGAGTTCTGTGCTGAAAATGGTATAAGTTATAATTTTTCAGCTCCAAGAACACCCCAACAAAATGGTGTTGTGGAGAGGAAAAATAGGACTCTTGAAGACATGACTAGGAGGCCCAGGAGGCACCTGGTTCCAACAGTTCACAAGGCACAAAGGTTGCCTTGCTGACGAAGGAAAATGCTGATTTGAAGAAATATGTCGAGGACCTGAAAGAGAGGCTGCTCAACGAGTAAGTGTTAGCAAATGCTCGAATGGACATCTTCCTTAGAACCCTTGCCTCTTCATCTGTGCCTCCCCTTCCAGTGCTCCTTAAAATCATTCCATTCCTAGTGTCAAGTTCAAGATGTCTGTCCTCTATTTTAATCTTTTCTATTTGGATGTGTTTAGTGACTGGTACTCCTTTTTCTGTTTTAATTTGTGGATGATTATGTAAAAACTGGTACTGCTCCCTGCTTATTTCCAAAATTAATGAATATCCCATCCTTTTGCTGTGCATACTGTGCTCTTATGCTCTATTTTTGTCATATTTGTGTGCACACATGCAACATGCGTTAATCATGCTAGACTTCTTTTTGCTTATTATTTGTGCTTAATCTTTTTATGATGTCAAAAGGGGGAAAATATATTAGGGGGAACAAAGGAGGGAACAAGTTCAGGGGGAATACAGGAAGTATGCATGTCACTCTAGTTTTTAGGGGGAACTTCAATACAAGTTTGTCATCATCAAAAAGGAGAAAATTGATAGGTTATGTGACCTGCTATGTTTTGATAATCTAACAAACTTGAAGCACCAGATAGGGAACATGTTTCACATCCTCAAGTGCTCAAGAACAACAAGTCTCAAGTCGGGGACATGTCTCAACAATTCAGAGTCAAAAAAACGATAGAGGGAACATATGGACATCAATTCCCTTGTTGACTGTACTAAATCAACTCCTCACAGCTGTAAAGTTGCTGCAACTGTTCCTCTGCACGAACGCAACAAAGCAAACATTGCAGCAGTCACTTTATGGGGATTGCCTTTGTACCAAATGTGCATGCATCATCCAAGTGACATCACTTGGGTAATATTAACATGAAGCAAAGTAAAAACAAGTCACTTGCACATTCTAGAATTGACCAAGCTTTCTCTCAAGTGTGTAAATTTGCAAGTGACTATCAAGGCTTCAAGAACAAAGAACAACATAACGAAGGACCAGTTTCCTGCATTGAGTCATTACATGTCCTTAGTTGTGTTACACCTTTGTTAAAGTGATTTACTTGTAATTCCTACTTAGTTTAGTTAAAAAGCATTGTGTAGGAAATCGTTTGTAAAACCATAAACCTTGTGTTTGTGTCTTGACTAGAGTTAGTCAAGTTGTAAGCTATGCAATAGAGTTACTGCAAAGGGATTTGTAATAGAGTTATTATAAGTTAGTGAGGGATTAAGAGTTTAATTCCTAGGTTACAATAGTTTGTAATCTGAAGTTTGCTTAGTAGTGAAGTTGAAATCCTACGATTGTGTCATTTACTTACTGCTACGTGCGTGTATTCTATGAGAACTAATAGAGAACCAAGTTCTCTATATAGTTTGATAGACCCTTAGTTTCTATTAGGAACATGATGCTACCCACAGAGGGATCCAAATAATGCTACCAACATTGCGAGTTCTCAATCCAAGAGACACCCTCCTAAGTTTTAGCATAGTGGCTGCCTTATACAAAGGAATCCAATGCTAAATTTTTATATATTCAGCTAAACCTCCAAACTTCCAAATTAATGCTTCCATTATCGAGCTCGAAGTAGTTACAACTTGTGGGAACCAATTAATTACATATGGTCTCACTGCAGAGGAGCTGGTTCTGAAGCATCTTGACTTACATGGCTCTTTCAAATGACTAAGGAGGCATATGAACATGGGTATCGAACAATTTGTTAGACAGGTTCTGGGCCTTGTATCTTACAATTGGGCCATTTTTGTTCTAATCCTACA